ACCAGTTGGATCGAGACGGTGGTACAATCGCTTGTTTATTGTTATCAACTCTTATTCGATTTGGCCTCGGACAGCTTGCAGAACGATATACCTCTCCAATTCCGTTGGTCTGCAGTGATGATCGTAGGCCAGGACGCCGCATCACATGAAAAAGCGAAGTTGCCGCTTGCGACCACATGTTTGTTAGGAATTGTTGTTCGAGTTGACCTTCCATTCTGTTAACACTACTTTTCTCGCCCCTTCGGGGGCTTGTCTGTGTAATTCTGCTNNNTTGGCGGTGCATGTTTTTCATTTTCATTTTCTGCAATTTCTTTTGCTTCACTTGCAGGGAGCGTGGCGGTCTCATCCTAGCCACGCCAACGAAGCTACGGATGACGACTGGAAGGGCTCACAGACGTGTGAGCCTGTACCTGCAAAAAAGCTGGGCCCCTGTGTCAGCAAGATTAGCACAACGTGTTTCCATGAAGGCAGGTGTTCAGGTTTTGATGATGTTGTCCACCATAAAGATTATTGCAGTATACGTGGACTTCGTGCTCAACCAGGCATGGTCGTCATGTGCACTGGCACCGTTGCCATCCAAGCTGTGTATGTAAGTGTTGCATGGCTGAGTGGCTTTGCAGATGGAGGCACGTGCAAAAACCTCACGCACATGTGACAACATGGTCCAAGATGTGCTTGAACTCTGGAACAAGGGTGTCCATCGCTCGTGGAGCCAGCGGCAAGGTGTTGTGCACGAAGGGATCAGCAGCCAATGCATTCATGATTCATGATCGCGATTCTGTGGTTCGACTACTCTTCTGGTGATGATGTTGGTGCTGATGGAAAGTGGATTCTTGGCATGCCATTTAGCATTGGCGATCTTGTTGTCGTTGAGCTCCGGCGGAACCGTGATTCTCACAGTGGACCCGAGAAAGCCACAAATTCGAAACAAAAAAACATTCGCCATTCCTACCGGCCTCTGTCAGCCAAATCAACGCGAAACGGAGCTTTTGCAGGAGGACAGTGAGTGTCGAGATGCTTACGTCCCCCTCGTCATCCAGGGCCTCCAGCTCTTTGCAACTTCTTCTGCATGTGTTCCAGGACGGTCTCGGTAATGTAGAAACTTGAGAAGAAACCGCACTTCATATCAGGTGTCCTAGTTTGGCTGTGGTTTCAGACAACATATGACCGGCATTCTTAGCCATTGCAACGCTCTAAAGTGTCGATCTTGGTTGCCCAGCATCACGAGACGGTTCACCGTGCCTCAGTTGAAGCTTGCGAGTTTACTGGTACCTGATACTGTATGCGGCAGCCCTTTCGCCAGGCTCATGTGAGAGCCCTGGCGCAGAAGCTCGACCCGTGACAAACCCTCCATATCGAAACCCCCTGGGCATACCTGGACCGGTTGACAGAGTTGAACTGGTGCACCCAGGATACCGGGATAGTGCATATGATGATAGCGTAGAGGAGACAAGCCCTACCTGTTTGACTGAGATTTGATGGACTTCTTGTATGTGAAGTTTTGATTGCATGAAGAAGTTTCTGTTTCTGTGAATTCGGTTTTGTAGTATCCTTATCACCCAGGTGCCCCAAATCTGTGGCGCCTCCGTCGCGCCGACAGAAGGCCCAATCATTTCTGACGGAGGACCCAAACCGTAAGACTGTAAAGCCAGAGCATGAGCAGGGCTCAGGTTTAGGGAGAAGGGTCTCTGCAAATCGATCAGTGCACGAGACTGGAACTTCAGGCGGAAATCGCTTCGTTAGGCTTTCCTTGTGGGTTTGGCAAGTCTTGTGCGGAACTTCTCTACATGTTCTTCTTTTTGATGACTAGCGACTAGCTCATCGCACATCGACAGGGCTTGCAGCCTGGTGACGGCTCTTCTAGCACTGCCTTGAAGAGTTCCCACATCTGGCACCGCTTCGGGAACGACTACGGGGTTAAGGTTCTACGAGCGTTCAACCTGTTCGTGGGCTTGTGGCCCTGGCAACCACAGCCTCGCCCATGTCACTTTGAAGCTCACCCACAAAACGACTGTCCATTTGTGCTGTGTTCAGGCAGAAGCATCACAGCCACGGCATGGATTGCAACTTAGCATGAAGCCAGGCAGCCGTGTGGCGGACCTGGAGCGGCGAGTGGCCGTGCAAGAGCAGGTGATCCAAGGATTGCAGGCAGAAGAGCGCTTGAATTCAAAAGGCGGTTGTGTCGTTTCGTGACGTCCCTTGCAAGCGAAGAGGCCGTAGAAGCAGCGGAAGGAGCGAAGTTCAGGTTGTTGCGGCAGTGGAAGGAATGGTGGTGATGGTAGTCTGGTTGTGGCGGTTGTTCACCTGGAGTGTTGAATTCAAATCTGATCTGCAGGCCGAGCTCTGCAGCCTCCGGGCACACATGAGTGCTCGGAGCTCAGGCAAGCAGCAGTAGATACCAGGCTATGCCCGGTCAGAGGACCCTGGACCCTCCTCTCCCCTCCTTCGATGACACCGCCCGGTAACGAGCTAGTAGCCTTTGTCTAGACTGCGCTTATACTTACATTCTGTCTCATTGCTTGATTAACTCAGGAACAGTTCGGATGGTATCCTTGAGCTTGTTTTGGGCGCGTGGGTGTAAAGTGTAATGTGGGAGCATCCTTGCATTCCCGTCAAGATTCGGGCTGTGCCGGCTGAGGCAATTGCAACAGCTTTCGGAGCCTTCTCCCCGAAGCTGTGAGCGGATAGTCTCGCAGGTGGCCTAGGGTGAAGCTGTCTGTGTAAGACATAGGGAGAGTCTCAGGATGGTGATTGCTCTTGCTTCCGTCTGTTGTTTACTGCAGTGGACTGTAGTGGCTCGTGGCATGAGAGGTGCTATCTGACCCGGAGATGCCGGTGAGCTTCGTAGGACCAACGAGCCATTCATGATCCTTCTCCTGCTGCTTCCTTAGAACAGGCGGGCAAGTGAAGTAGTAATATCGGCAAATAGTGACTAATTATGGACATGTGAAAGGGCATGCGCGAACGACTTAGGGCTCTGATGGCTCTGATCGGCAGCACGCCGGTCTATGTCAGCTTTTGGCGACCTCTGCCTGTCCGTATGCTCGCAGCAGCCACTCTTGTGGTTCGGTGTCGGATGGTGTTTGACAGTTCTGGGGGATGTCTGCAAGAGACGCTGGGCATGCGAGTGGCAGGTAATTCGGGAATTTGCTGCGTGTAATTCGCTCAGAAACTCATGGTCTCCGAGCGGGAGGACAAAAAAGGCACCATATGCTTTGAGCTCATGAAACCAATTCGCTACAACTCGGGTTCAATTCTCGAAGCCCCACTCGCCTTCGCCTTTTCTGCTCACCTGCTCCGACCACGAAAGACGAAAGACTGGACGATGGGGAATAGAGATGCGGAGAGCAAGCGGCGAACTACAGAAAGCCGGCCTGCGGCATCCAATGTCGCAGATTCAGACTGTCGAACTCGCTTGAGGTATTCACTTGAGGTATTAACTTGGTTTCGAAGTTGCTTTGTTCTCACGTGGAGCGACTCCGAAGGTCAGGTGCGCAACTGACCCGAGGGTCCAACTAAGGCACCTGCCGCCCAGAATCGCAATTTCAACGTATGATGCTTTGATTGCTTCGTCTATCGGATTGTCATGCCTCCTGGTTTGAACACACTACCCAGGCACCAGGTTTTTGAGAGAAGCGTCTGTTGTCCGAGCC